AGGAAAGTACGTGGAATTTCAAACATACGAAAAGTATTTAAAGCAATACAAGGAAACATAGTTTTTTGTAAAGATATTGAAATAAGTCTAAACAAATTTTTACTATATATAAATATACAAAACAAAAATATATGAAACATTAATTTAAAGATAATGATAAGGGCCATACAAATAAAGCTTTGCATCTGCTTTCACTTAAACGTTGGCTGGATGTTTATATATAGGCTTATGATAATTACTATAATTTGAAATGTATTTTGAATGAATTTAAAATAGTGCATTCAAAATGAATTTGAAATAGTGCATTTAAAATGAATTCGAAACAATGCATCTTTAATAGATTTGAAAAAATGCATCCGGAATACAATTGAATTAAAATCATTTTTCATCCAACGACATGTAATAACTTACAAAATAAATAATCCTAAGTATGCAAATTTACATCTGAATATTGATCTTGGACATTAAATGACAAAAATAAGTAGATTTAAAACTTGTTTTTCTCAAGTAACAACACATTATGTTCACAAATATTACAACATGTTTCACTTCGCTACATTACTTATTACGCGTGCCTTTTACAAAATCGGGTTTTATTTGCTTTCCGTTGTTGCCAAATTTATACCATAAACAGATACTTAAACATGAGGTGACTTTGCCTGTGCGTTTTGAAATTGCTGTATTACTTTAACCGCCACAAGTTCAAGACTTGAACGTCAACACTGAGGTTGTTAGTTCCAAAACGGCTTGGTGCAGTTGCATTAGACTTTTATATTATTTGACTAAGATCGCCAATTTCCCTTTCGATCATCGATGGTTCTCTCCGAAAAATTCAGAGTTCTACTTTATCAAAAATGGCCGCCACAATATAGCAAAGAATGCTGAAAGTGGCGGTAAATACCAACAACATTAATGTAAAACTTATAAAAAATTGTTACAAGTCATAGAAAACATGATGGATATTATCCAGTTATCAATCACTACAAAAGTCTAAAAGTCTGAAAAGACCAGTTTTTGTCTTAATTTGCATGAACTTTTACTCGACATTCTCCAAAAGTATGACTTGTGTCTTAATTTTTCTTGACAAATTCTCATTTATATTAAATTTGTATGAAATTTACTCGACATATTCTCGACATTCTGAATATGGTCTTAAAATTTCTTGACAAATTCTTGACATTTGAATACTGTCTTGAAATTTCTCGACATATTCTCGACATTCTTATTTTTTCTCAGTATGGCTTGACATATTCTGAACATTTTGAATCGTGTCTTAAATTTACTTGACAGTTCTGAGTTTTACAAATCATGACCAATATTCATGATATAACTTTAATCTTTGTTTCTCTTTATATGATATACTGTTGTTTCAAGTTACACTTCTTTACAACAAAAATAAAAGTTGGGCATGTAAAATAATTGAAAATTTTGGTATATAAATATTTTTACAAATGCAAATATGGCTATGAAATCTAAAGTATAAAATAATTTAAATGTAGGTGTGTTGATATAAAACAATTTCAATGTGGGTTTTTAAATAATTACAAATTTTGATTCCTAAATCTTATAAATTAAATGATTCAAACCAATCATACTGTAGACATATTTCATTCTACATTCATAATATTCAATGTTGATAAGGTAAATAATTATTATACCAAAATGTGGTTTATATAAATAGCAAATTATGATGATATACAAATCATTCATTTAACAGAAGAAAAATTTGTGTAATGTCATCTGTTGGAATATATTAAGTATTACACATGGACAGGATGTTCCCCATAAAATTAAGGTATTCCACACCCCAGAGTACAGCAACTGTCAAATAGAAGTTATTGCTTTACCTGTAATCAGCCATACAACTTATCAGTTGACCGACCATGCCACTTTGTTGATAGATGAAAATGAAATCATCATTTTGATGAAAAAAAATTGAATTGAAATGGATTTTCTTCATCAAAATTATGAAGTTAATTATTTTAACATAAAAACAAATTGAATAATTCCCAAAGATTAAAAGAAAATTATTATCTACTCCAGGAATAATAAAAAAAATGTATTTATAATGGGTCCCATCAATGATTTCTATAGAAATCATCGGTCTTATGAAATGGTTCTCAAACAGACATGCATAATATAGATCTAAACATTTTTTTCTTTTCAGGAAGGAGTTATCACAAATATTTTATTTTTGATAAAAAATTATAAAATTCAACACACAAATTTGAATAAAAAATGTTTTGGGGTTATTCTAAAAAATGAATAAGGTTTTTGAATCAAGATGGGAACAAATTTTTTGACCTAAACGAAAGCCCCCCCCCCCCCCCCCTCTTTTTTTAGCCACACAAACCCAAAAGATGAATTGTGGGGTCCAAAAGAGATACAAGACACCTATTTTAGTAAAGCAAATTTGACTGGCAGTTTTGCGAACGGCAAAAATCTAAATGCTGTTTGTCAATACCTTCGACTTTTATTGAGATAGTGTCAAGACATATTTAAGACTGTCAAGAATGTGTCGAGACATATTCAGACATTATTTAGAATGTCAAGAATATGTCGAGACATATTCAGACATTATTAAGAATGTCAAGAATATGTCAAGACAGATCGAGACAAATTTAAGACAGTCAAGAATTGGTCGAGACTAATCCAGACTCTTATCAGATGATACAGGAAGTGTCGAGAAATTTTAAGACAATGTTCATACTGTCAAGACACTTGTCAAGAAAAATCAAGAACCTTATTAGACAAATTCATACTATGTCAAGAATTTTTAAAAATTATTCAGACAAATTAAGAATGTCGAGTAAAAATTCATGCAAATTCAGACAAAAACTGGTCTTTTCAGACTTTTTGACTTTTGTAGTGAATGGAGTAACAATAGTTTACCGGAGCATCTGAGTGCAAAACAATTTTTTTTTTTTTTATTAATATGGTTTCATTTGATCTTCTTTTTATGTGCTGTATTATTACCGACTTCAATCTAGAGTTAAAAGTCCGTACAAGTTTTGATTGCTCAAGTTTGCAAAATGAATGAACACATAATTACATGTATCATCATAATAAAGGTTGAATAATGAGATGCAAACACGGAAAAAGACAAATGTCGTTTCATGTTTTTAGGAAAGATAGATTGTACGTGCATTAGTAAGATTGTATACTCGAGATATCTATTTCAACTGTATCTTTACATTTCGACTGATACACTGGTAGATCAGGAAATGTTCTCCTATAAGTAAGTTATATGCTTGTTTTATATAGGCACTATATGTGGGCAAATATTAAGACCTGCTCGATGTCCGTCTGTAAACTCTATGTGTCAACTAAATTGGAACAAGGTAGGATGCATGTTTCATTTAAAGACAACTAACACAATAATTAGTGGTATATAAATGCATCACCTGTCGTTAATAAAAAAACATCAAATATATATCAAGTTGGAAATTATCTGCTACATAACCATTATTTCCAACAATTGATTTCAATTTATATGTCCAAAATTTATCTTTGAGATTCTTTTGTATCGTCATTTTGTATATTATACACTGGCAAAAATGCCACACATGTGTACATGCGTGACACATGCGTTTCACTTGCGTGTCACACGCATGTGAAAGAGACGTTTCATGCCACGCATGTGACACATGTGTGAAAAACACATGTGATACGCATGATACACACATGTGATCATGCGTTTCACATGTGAAGCACATGCGTAAGGAAATACACCTGTGATACATGCGTGATTACTACATGTAAAAGGCATGGTGCCTGTATTAAATATTTTTCAAAATGTCCTCCTATTTGTCCAATTACCATGATTGTTGACATGTTTCTCAGTTCTCATGTGAATTACATGCAATTTCTAACACATTTTTCTAACACATGCGTTATACATGTGTTTTCTCTATATATACACAGGCAAAATGAAATTAAGGTGAATTGAGCATCAATCACACAAATTCACAGTATTTGAGCATATTTTAGATAAGTTAATGCTAATCTAGTACACATTCTATTTTGATATATAAATATTCTTCTTGGTCTTGACTATGTGTTCATACTTCCATTATATTTTACTTTCTTGATCCTAAACAATACAAAAAATATTTATCTATCAACTCCCAACTCACAATATCTCCAATGCAAGAGATAAGATGCAATAAAACAAAGAAGGCAAGCAAATATCCAGGTCACCTTAGTTCACTCCTAGAATTTTTTCGGTTATGTTCAAGTCTCAATACTTTTTTTAAAAGTCATGTAAGGATTGGTGATTCATTTATAGAATATGTATGCACTAATGTATATTTCATTTTTAATATGTATGTACAAGTCATTTTGTGGTTATCAGCCATGAGACAATCCAATCCCATTATGGAAATAGTCTTACTTGCAAAAGATGCCAATTTTTCTTTTGAAAGTTTTGAAGAAAAAAAGTATTTTACCCTGCCACATATTCCTGTGCCTGTTTCAAGCCAGGAACCTTTTCAGTGGTTGTCTAAGTCTCATCCTAATAAAAAAAAATATTTAAAGAATTTGGTGTTGATGGCAGCTCTTTGATTGGTATAGACTCTGGTTAATTAAGTAGATCATGACATTGTTTAGACACCTGTTCATTGTTGAGGACTGTATGTTAGCACCTTAATGCTTTTCATGTGTTTTTGTTGTGTAGCTGTCTGATTTATTTATACCTCATATCTCATTGTATTAATAAACTGAAATAGAAAGTTCTGTGAAATATATTTTGATATACCATATTGAAAGTCTTGCTGTTATTTACAACCATTTCCTTCTTATTTCATATATCTATTTCAGTTTTTCATTTTAACACCAATCTTAAGGTTAAGGCAAAAAGAAGACAAATGTTGACAAACAACAGGCATATACCATTAGAAGATCTCAAAGTTTGGCTGCACAATAAACTAAAAATTCTTGTTATTTCAAATATTTATATAAAAATCAGTTTAATACATGCATTTTCCATTTTTAGACTGTAATTGTCATGTTGGCACAATAATTTGAATTTGAATTGTATTATATTCTGAGAGTACTTGTGGTTGAAAAAATATACACGATATTTAATTCCATGTGTTTTAGATTTCTTGAATACACCATTCCCATATAATGACTACATGTCTGTTAGTAATGTTAAGAGTTCTCTCCTGCATGTAATTGCTGTAATTGCTATTTGTACCCAAGGCTTCCTTCATACATTTGCACTTATCCTTCTAAGATGTTGCTTGAATGATAAAATCCTGTAATACATTATCAGCCATCAGACTCTTGGAATACAGTAGCGGTAATAAAAAAAAAAACTGTAATCACAGAGATATGTCTCGCTTTTTAGTAATTTCGATAATGCAAATGTTGAAATTAAAATAGCAACACTTTAACATGTAAGATTTGCAAATATTCAAAGTCAATGAACCATGACTAAAGGTACATGGCTAAACAATCTCCATGGAAATTAGATGTGCCAATGCTAATATAACGCATACCAAATACCATTGACTTATCATAAGTAGTTCCCTTTAAAAAACCTAAACACAAACTAATACATGTAAACTAAGAAAATTTTAAAGTCAATAAATGATAACTGAGGGGGGGGGGAATAATCTCCATGGTAATGAGATGTGCCAATGCTAATACAACTGCATACCAAATATCATTGACTTACCACTAGTGGTTTCCCATAAGCTGACCTAATCACAAACTAATACATGAAAACTAAGCAAAAGTTTCAAAGTCAATAGACCATGACTGAGGGGGCAGGGCCAAATAATCTTCATGGAAATGAGATATGCCAATGCGTATTTAACTGCATACCAATTATCATGAACTTACCACTAGTGGTTCCCCATAAACTGACCTAGTCACAAACTAATACATGAAAACTAAGCAAAAATTTAAAAGTCAATAGACCATGACTGAGAGGGTGGGGCCAAATAATCTCCATGGAAATGAGATATGCCAATGCTTATACAACTGCATACCAATCATAATTAACTTACCACTAGTGGTTCTCCATAAACTGACCTAATCACAAACTAATACATGAAGACTAAGCAAGAATTTCAAATTAAGTCAATAAACCATAACTGAGGGGGCGGGGCCAAATAATCTCCATGGTTATGAGATGTGCCAATACTAATACAACTGCATACCAAATATCTTTGACTTACTACTTGTGGTTCACTATAAACTAGACCTAATCACAAACTCATACATTGTTGACGCCGCTGTCGTCACCAACGCCAGAAACAGCATACCTATGCCTCGCTTTTTGACTCCGTCAAGCGAGACAAAAACAGCATATATTTTTTGTAAAGCATACATCAAATATTGGATTACCAATCAGGCAAAAAATGATAACATCAATTTAATCTCCAATGATTTACCAAACTTACATATATATATATATATATATCGTGTGAACAACTGGAGTGGATTATAATAGTTGTTGTTTATCATATTTATTTTTCGTTTAATGTCTTTTACGTAAATTGGAATTGTATTACATCTGTAATTTCAGGACCTTTTATAGCTTGCTAGATGCAGTATCAGTTTTGCTCATTGTTGAAAGCTGTTCATACAGTGATCTATAGTTGCTAACATTCAGTCATTTGGACTCTGGTGGATAGTTGTCTCATTGGCAATAATACTACATACTCTCATTTTTATCAACATAAATTACCGTAATAATGAAAACTAACTCTATTCATGCATGTGTACTACACATTACCTGTATATATAATATATACTAGAATACTCCGGGACATCATGGTGTTGTGACTGAAGCAAAGTACCTTAGCCTTATTTTTAGCCTGAATTTTAAGATTTTTCGTTTTGTCATCTAATAATGTCATGCTGGTCATTAGGTGCACAGTTTTCTCTGCTTTCAAAATCTTTCTTTTTGAACCCTTCGACCCAGAACTTGTTAATTATCTGTAGTAATAATTATGTGGAAAACAAATGGGCCTGGAATGGTGTAATTTTTAATCAACACCATTGTCCTATATATATAAGTTATAAATAAAGTTGAATTCTTTGAATCGTCATTTTTATGTCATGCCGGCTCACAAATTGGACCTTGTTATTTTAGTATTATAGATCTAGATTACTAAGTGCTTGTAGAAACACAATTCCTCATTTTTCAAGCCCCTTTCTTACATGTCTTAACCTCATTTAAATTACAATACCAACTAAAAGCTCCAAGGAGCATGTGTCGCTCACCTGATATTTTTTTTATTTTACAATTGATGCATGAAATAATGCAACCGATATACTTTTGCTTTAGTTTCAAAGATATAAGTCAAAAACTGCATTTTTCCCCCTATGTTCTATTTTTAAACTAGATACCCTAATGCTTATTATGGCCAAGTTTGGTTAAATTTGTCTCATTTGTTTCAGGAAAAGACTTTTGTAAAAGATTACAAAAATTTACGAAAAAATTGTTAAATTTGACTTTAAAGTGCAATAACTCCTTATGGGGTCAATTGACCATTTTGATCCTGTTGACTTATTTGTGAATCTTATTTTGCTGAACATTATTGCTGTTTACAGTTTATCTCTATTATAATGTTCAAGATAATAACCAATAAATTGCTTTGCCGAGCGCAGCTGGATATGACCACAGAGGTCCAACCCTGAACAGTTGGGGCAAATATGGACACAATATTCGCGCTTGATACAGGTCTGAATTTGGATTGCAATTCAATATTTGACACATAATAGGTTTCTGACACAGAATAACTGTAGTCAAAGAACTTAGAATTGGTTATATGATTTGAATTTATATTCAAAATTTTGCTTTTGTGTAATACACTATGCTGTTGCGAATTGACCTCCATCCCCTTTTTCAAAAAAAAAAAAAAAATTTGAAGGATTTTCTTTTTGATTTTGATTTCTGAAATCTTGAGGAGAAAAAATTGTCCCCCCCCCCCCCCCCCACCCCTTTTTCCAAAAAAAAAATCTTTCCCTCAGTTATGGTCATAATTTCAATTCAAATTTCCAAGATGTATTTGAATTACCTCACTTACACTGTAATTTGTACTTAAGTAATTGTCCATTAACCAGGACACCCTTGTTTTTTCTCACTTTTTTGCCCCCAATTCCTAAATGGTTTGAGCCATAACCCCCAAAGCCAATCCTAACCATCCCTTTGTGGTATGGAAACTTGTAGTATAATTTCAGAGAGATCCATACACTGTTCCACAAGTTATTGTCATGAAACTAGAAAAATGCTTATTTGGGCCCCTAATTCCTAAACTGTTGGGACCATAACCCCCAAAATCAATCCCAACCTTCCTTTTGTGGTTATAAACCTTATGTTTAAATTTCATAGATTTCTATTTACTAATACTAAAGTTATTGTCCGGAAACCAAGTGTCTTTGGGCGACGACGACGACAACGTGATACCAATAATTTTTTGTGGTCGTATAAAAATTGAAAAAAAAATTCTTAAAATTACCTATTCAGGGGCAGCAACCCAACAACCTGTTGTCTGATGCGTCTGAAAATTCAACAGAGATAGATATTCACCTGATGAACATTTTTACCCCATGTCAGATTTGCTCATAATGCTTTGGTTTCAAAGATAGAAGCCAAAAACTGCATTTTACCCCCATGTTCTATTTTTAGCAATATTGGCAGTCTTGGTTGATGGCCAGGGTCAACGGATATATTTTTTAAACTAGATACCCTAAGGATGATTTAGGCCAAATTTGGTTTTATTTGGCCCAATAGTTTCAGAGAAGATTTTTTTAAAAGTTAACGGACGACGACGGACGCCAAGTGATGAGAAAATGATGCAATTAACAGCAAAAGAAGGCGAGACACTGGGTTCTGCGGAACCCTTACGTTTTTTTTGAAATTGCCTTGGAATTCAGTATTTTTGTTATACCATTTGGAAATTAAATACTGTAACAAATACATACCAGTAACATTTATATATACTGTAGCTATAGGATCTCCTCAATATCTAATCCTGTTGTTAATTTCATTTAAACATATAATGTATATAGCTTCCCTTCCATTTACATCTGAGGAGCTAATTCTGAAAATTAAAATTCCTTTGATTATCATATAAAATCTTAACCTGATGCAGTCTGCTTTCCAATAAGAATAAATTAGGAATACAGTTATCCCTTGGCAAAGAGAGAGAAAACAAGTGATATTTTTATATTATAACCAATACTGCACATGGTAATTGGAACATCACTAGTTTTCTGGATTGGATTGTTGCTCACTTTGTCAGGATCTTTTACAGCTGACTATATACTGTAGAAACATTAATTTTCGTGGGGTTAAAATTTCGTGGTTTTGTCTCTTTACAAGATTTCATGGGGATTTAATTTCGTGGTTTCCAGTAAATGGAAGTGATATTATATGTAGGTTAAATTTTCGTGGGGGTTTTAATTTCGTGGATATATTCTTTCCATGAAATAAACGAAATTAAATCCTCCACGAAAATTTCTGCTTTTACAGTAGTATGGTTTTGTTCATTGTTGAAAGTCATACAGTGACCTAAATTTTTTTACATCCTCTTTGACTAATGGAATGTTTTCTCATTGACAATCCTACCATACATTGTAAGACCTTATTTATAAAATACTAAAAATTTCAATCTGTGACAATAACATTTTATTAATTAAATAAGGTAATCTGATCAACATTATGAAGCAATTTTCAAAACACTCTGTCATTGTCTGACAGCGATCAAAGTAATTTTAACTTCTATGACAATGTACAATGATGTATATATGTGCAAGGCTCAAAACTAAGTATTACAACTAAATTCATACATATATCCATATACATTTACAAGGTACTTAAAAAATCAGCGAGACTGATGCATAAAATGTAGGTAAAAAAAAATACTTTTGTTGGATCCTGCATCATAATTATTACAAGTTAATGAAGGCAAGTCATAATCATTGAGTACATGTACATTATATTTGAATTTAAAGTAAAGAATAATCTGATTAGTCTCTAATCAGTAATGAAGCCACACAACACTGTGTGATAACAGTGACATATAAGCCTCCCATAGATGCACATACTATTATTTTAGGTCTTTTGTATATATATGTTTAAGGTTACTTAGAATTGGCTGTTGACATACATGTACACATGGACTGTCAGGCATGGAGTCATTGGACCCTAGGTTACTCCAGTCCATTATCAGTCACTATCAATAGTCAACTCCTCTGTCCATTTGTTGTAATACAATGTACAGCTGAAAGGGAGAAAACAGTACTTTATTAATAGCATGTGGATGCAAGACTATAATAAGTATTCAAAGAGTTTTGCAAACAATTAGCTGTATTGTATTTTAAGCTTGGCCTTCATTAAACTTGATTTTACCATAGGCGGATCCAGGGGGGGGGGGGGGGGGGGGGGGGGCACTCCAGTCATGCTTCAGTGATTCCCTATATAATCAACCAAATTTTTACCACAAAAGGGGCCCCCCCCCCCCCCCCCCCCTGGATCCCCCTATGGTAAAATAAAGTTTAATGAAGGCCAAGCTTAAAATACAATACAGTTATCTACTTTCTAATGCAGCATATTAAAATAAATACCATTTAACAAATATTTTGCATTGTCTTTAGCAACTAAACAATGTGACGTCATATGCGTACTCATGATGTCAAACATAAAATTCTAGAAGTACATTTTATTTATACCTTTCGTACGCTTCAGAATGGTTTCAATGTTGACAAAAAAAATGGAGGACCTTTCACTGGACTGAAAATTTCAAATACTCCAGGACCTTTTATTTTTTAATGCAAATTTTAACCCCTGCATGTAGACCAATTTGAAAACCTGGCCCAAAATAAATAGACAGCTGCACCATGAGCACATGATACACCAATCGCTTATTCAAAGAATAAAGTTCAATAACTTTTCAATGTCATAATCAGACATTCATGAAAAACTAAAGGGAGGTTTTCTTAATAGATATAAACCAGTCACCAAAGTTTCATGATAACTGCTCAAAGCATTGTCTGAAATATGAAAATTCCCCTTTTTTATGAATAAAATCACATAACTCTGAAACATAAAATCTAAAATTAATAAAAACCAAAAGGGAGCTTATGACAATAAATATAAACAATTCACCAAAGTTTTATGAAAACTGCTGTAAGCATTTTTGAGTTATTGTCTGAAAACTGGAAAATCTCCCTATTTTAAATGAATATAACCCCACAACTTGGAAACATAAAATCTTAAATTTATAAAAATCGAAAGGGAGCTTATGTCAATAGATACAAACAAGTCACAAAAGTTTCTTGCCATTTGGTGAACACATTTTGAGTTATTGTCCCAAAACTGGAAAATCCCCATTTAAAGTTTTTTAATGTTTTTTGGATATCAACAACTTTGTCAAACATACATGGAATTTTGACATGGAATTAGTTATATCTGCACACAAGAACACACATTTGTATGTGTTTTTTCTGCATAAACATGTAATTCATAATTTATTAAAACTTCCGACATAGTCCCATTGTGCATCTCTTTTTTATGCCCTTGGTGTAACGGAGGGGGCATCAAGTTTTACACTTGTCTGTCTGTACATCCTTGCATTGAGAAATAGGTTTTATACCCTTTTGATATATTGAATATTTTGACATTACACAGTCATACTTTTCTTAAGACTGCATAAAATGACAAACTGTGAAACATTGTTACACTAAATCTGTTGAATGTAAACTGATAGATATTTTAGTTTGGGAAAACATGTTTTTTGCACCTTTTTTATTATAAGACCTATTGATGAATCCAGTCCTTTTTGGCTAATTTTGAAAGTTGGTTCTTATGTTGTTTGCTGTCTGCCATTACTGTATGTAGTTTATATTTTTCATCCTTGTAGGTTACTTTATGGTATTGATTTTGTTCATTGTTTAAGGCTGTACATTGACCAGTAAATGTTTACATCTTTGTCCTTTGGTCTATTAATTGATAGTTGTCACATTGAGGATCATACCTCATCTTTTTATATTTATATGCTAGGTCATTGAAAAAGCTCCAAGGATACAACATACTTTAATTGTTATATATTTGCAAAGTCATTCTGATAATGCAAAAACATAAATTGATTGACTTTTTTTCTTATTTTAATGTCCAGAGGCAAATATTTTATGTATTCTAAACGAGAACAACTTATCATGATCAATTAATAATATAGGCCAGTCTGACAATGCTTGTTTTAGACCCTTTTTGGTCTCTAATTCCTGAATGGTTTGGGCAAATACCCCCAAATGAAACTTAACCTTCTACAATTTCATAGCAATTAAAATACTTATAAACAAGTTATTGTCCTGAATTTAGAAAAATGCTTGATTTGGGCCTTTTTTGGCCCCTAATTCCTACACTGGTTGAACCATGACGCCAAAAATAATCCCAACCTTCCTTATGTGGTATTGAACCTTTAAATCTAATTTCATAGACATTCATACACTTAAACTGAAGTTATTGTCCGGAAACCAAATGTCTTCGAACGAGTTGATAGCAATATACAACCTCAAAACTTTTTTGCTGTAGTATACAATATGGTTTTTCTTTTAAACATTTTCATAAATAATCTAAAAGAGAATGTAGACCTGTTTGGGATTGCTTGCAATGCAATTTTCATTACATTAAACAATATATATTTCCACGGAATAACTTCTGTAAACCTAAATTTTAATAGCACTTACTTTCTAACTCATACATTTCAAAGTGACATTATTCCTGTATAAATTGCCAAATAAACGGATCACCGATGTAATAATAAATCTTAATTATAAATTTAATACTAAACAGAAAACAATGAACTTGCGGAAAAGATGGTATACCGCCAACAAAAGGTGCAAAGGTTTTATTTCTTGGTTTCCTTAAACTGACCTCATCATCATGAATATCAACAATTTTTTTACGACTATGCCTCTATTGAAAACAGCATGCCTAAGTCACAGCTTCATAACTGTTGTGGCTAGACAAAAAAGAACAAGCGATTAAGAGAGCTTTGAATGCAATTTTCTATAAAAATGACCTGTAAAAAAAATTAATTTGTTACTTCTAACATGGATAATTTTCGAACTTGCCCACAACATTACAAGAATCAAACTTTAAACTCTTTGACCTCAAACTTTTAAAAAAATCTTCGAAACTGCATGTACAGAGCCTGACAAGAAAAAATTATTCAAACATAGTTATCATTTTTATTACATACCTCTCATCACAAAATTATTCATTGACTACTGCTCCTCATATCCACATAAATCAATAGGACAATCTATGACTCCACTATATAATCTAGAAAGCAATGCCTCAAATGAATTCTGTCCTGTTGCTTAGCTTCTCCTACTTCTCAAAGTAATTGTACTTTCGTTGAAAAAGCTAAAATAAATAATGTTTAATAAAATGAAGTTATAATACAATGTATCTGCCAAAATTGCCTTTAATATTTTGATCTGGCAAAATTGGCTTGCTTTGATCTTTTAAAACTAGACCAACAAACTTTCCCTGAAAAAAAAATGACTACAAAAAAGTATTTAATCATTTTATTAATGTTCTAATCCATCATATAAATTCCATATGACCCTTGAATGAAGGGATGAACAAAAGTGATTACATGTACAGTATATATTACAGGATCTCTGAATCTGTCATGATTTATAATGCCAATCTTTGGGGATTAAGTTATTAATAATCATGATACTTTGAAATTTTAAGTCATTCAAAGTTGTTTAAATTACACCAAAAGTTGGACTATTTTATATAAGGTAGTATCTGAGAAATGGACTAAACCAGGCAAGGTTTGGTGGTAAATACATTGTACATGTACAATGTACTTTGTTTTTGGCTTTGAACTAGGTGTTAGAAACTGGGAGTACTCTCAGATCTGAACTTGGGTCTTTTTTGTTGTGGGGATGTGTAAGTACCCACCACGTCTTGTGTGTGGTTTTGTTAGATGTCTTTCTACTTTGTATAGATCTGACGAGTTAAGCCCTTTTCACATCAATATACCAGTTTAGGAGGTGGGTTCGGCACCACAAACTACTAGTCTAGCCCCACCCCATCCTGTACATATTTGTATGTATGTGCCTGTCCCATGTCAGGAGCCTGTAATTAAGTGGTTCAGTTTGTCGTTTGTTGCTGTGTATCATATTTTGTTTTTTTTGTTCTTTGTTTTGTATATAAATTAGTCTGCTAGTTTTCTTGTTTGAATTATTTTACAAATTTGTCATTTTCATTTGGGGTCTTTTATAGCTGACTATATGGTATGGGGTTTGCTCATTGTTGAAGGATGAACAGCAGTCTTCACGATGAACTGCTAAATCTACAGGCCCGGAGCTCAATTTTTGAAAATTTTTGGTTAGATTCTGTTGGCTTGTAGATATGATTTTTACAGGCCCGAGAGCAATATTACAAGCCTGGGCTGCCTGGGCTGCCTGGGCTGCCACTCAGCGTGAAGACTGGTACAGTGACCTCTAGTTGTTAACTTTGATGTCATTTAATCTCTGATGGAGAGTTGTCTTTTCTCATTAGTGTAAACAAGATTTTATTTTGAAAATAATTAGGTTATTTAAACATTACAATATGACAGTTTTATTAGGATTGGAAAACAAGTGAATTTTCACGGACTTTTACCAATTCCTCTCTTTTCTCATTGGCAATCATACCACATTTTCTTATTTTTATATTTACATTACGTACATGTAAAGTAGATCTTTCATCTTCTGGAGGTGTCCGATTCCTAAGTACATGTACAACAGGGGGCCCTAATTAACAGCATGATTTTGAGTCGGCTAAAAAACAATCAGATAGATTATGATACAATTAACAGGTTTCTTTGCAATTATTTTGCAAATAACTAAGCTAATGCAAGAATAAAGTTATTTTCCAATAAATACATAAATTAAATAATAGTAAATAATGAATCTACAATTATATTTTAAGACGTGAAACATCATTTAAATTCAATAAATATCATATATTAAATTTCAATTTTTTTTTTTAATTCTGGGTAGATGAGTTTTCATTTTTTTAAAGTACATATAGGGCGAGTTGGTAGACCTTTATCTGTTTATAATATATTTATTATATATTATCATGATTATATTCATTTGGATTTTACCCAAGTTAGGCAAGTTGCCACTGTTGGCAGGACTACATTGTATATTTAACAGGATTTAATCCTTTTCACAAGTGGGGCGATTTTTTTTAATGTGGGGCAAGCAAGTTGGTATGAAGGGAGCTACCACTTGATTTGGTGGGGGGGGGGGGGGGGGGGGGGCGGGGCTAGGATGAAAATGTTATGAACAGTTATCCTGCATTGTTTTTAGTTGTAATATCTGTCCTGACAGTTTATTATTCATTCTTTTCGGTCCTGGCTTTTATTTTTTTACTCAAAACTCCTGTCCCGCATTTTTTCAAATTCCGTCAAAGCCCCCTCTCCCATAAAAATCAAATGGTAGCTCCCTAAACAAGAGTGGAGCGATTTTAAAATAATGGGGCGTTTTGCCAATTGCAATGGAGCGAGTTGACTTGCTTCCGTTTTTGCCAATCTTTGACTGATTTTCGGGTTTATACATGCATGACATGGATAAAGTCAAATGGTTTTTCGTGAAAAGTATAGCACTAGCATCTTCCTAAAAATGCGCATGATTATATTTACATTTCATTGCGCTTTCCAAGTACAATAAGTTGGTACGTAATCCATCAAAACGAAACACTTTCGTTGCGTTGACTTTCGTTCCCCGGATTCAGTTAATCGACAATGTAAGTTACTAACCCATTTCAATATATCTGTTTATAATAACTTTTTGATCCATCAGTTTGAAAAATCAAAGGTCTTTGTATCAACTATCTGACTATCTTTGTCCATTCTTTTAAAACATGAATTCAGCAGCAGACGAGCGTCCATGGATTTTGCGTCATAGTATAAAAACTACAACGGTGAAAAGATTTCCGGGTTTCCGTATTCGACGTGCCAAGCTTTCGTACATTTACGTATATATATGAGAGTTAGTCTGGAATCAAGAATGGGGATTTAAATAAGGACACAAAAAAAATATATAGATAGTTAAAAAGCAAAAATATAGAAAGAAGGATCATAGAGAATAACTGAGTATACTTAATTAATTTTATGAAGAATCATGCAAAGACATTATTCTCAGAGCATATACATGTCTCTGGAAGAATTGAGAATAAAGAAAAACTAAATAAAGAATATTCAATCATTTATATATTATTTATAACTCATTCACATTTTGTTCCATTCAGAATTAAATAACTCTGCTGAGGGGGGCATGGGAAGTTTGGAAAATTGACAAACGATAATTACTCTAAATTCTAATCAGAGGAGAATTAAATGTTATACAGTTAGAGTGTAATAAATAAAATATAAACATATATTTTTCAAAATGATGTCACAGAAAACACAGATTTTTTTTTATTACTAATAAGATTCTGCAATTTGAGTATCTATGTCCAACAGATGTCAGTGAATTAGAAATTTTACTAATCTGATAAACGTTTAGTTAAGAATCTGTGACAAGTTCTTTTGTAATATTATTAGGAAATTGCCTACCGCCTCCTTGATTTAGAATTGCATACTCTTCAAGATTAAGGTAGCCTACACAAATAACAGCCAGTTTTGGACTTGATCTTTTTGTCCAAGGTTAAACAATATATTTTGTTTTATAATTTTCAACTCATGAACTATGCAAATATTTTTAACACTATCTCCTCATGATATTCGACGAAAAGCTCACCTGATCTTATCTTCACATGTTTGCCAATATGGCGAATCAAATCAAAGTTTTACTTACTTAATTTCAAGTTGGCAATTACATGTATACTCAAACCTAGGTTGCCACATGTTGAGCAGAAAGTTCCTAACTTTATCATTCACAATACTTGAGTTCATCCATGTATTTTGGAGGTTCGTGTTGCACATAAAGGCGGATTTAGAGCACCCTGCCCCTCCCCTTTTTGTGGCAAAAATTTGATCTATTATATCGGGAATCACTGATGCATGACTAGGGAGGCCCCCTCTTTAGCAGTCAGTGGGCCCCCTTATGAAAATTTCTGTAAAATGTTATCACCGTTGATCCAATAAACAAATCCTTGGTTGATCTATTCTTAAACAACTTCTTTCCAGTAGTACCCTCACAATGGTATTAATCACATTAATGCCTCCAACCTGGGACTATTATGGAGACTATTATACAATAGTCCCAGCTCCAACACTGATCATTGATATTTATGTTCCCCTTATAAATAGAATAGAGAAATTGAGGACATTTGTTCCACATTTTATGAACTTTGAAAAAACACAAGCACATGTAACTTTTGACACCACCTGCGGGCAAGTGCCTGCAGGACACTGATGTGGTGGCACGTGGGTGGTGGTAAGTCAGTGGCGGATCCAGAACTTTTCATAAGGGGGGCCCGCTGACTGACCTAAGGGGGGCCGCTCCAGTCATGCTTCAGTGATTCCCTATATAATCAACCAAATTTTTCCCACGAAAGGGGGGCTCGGGCCCCCCACCCTGGATCCGCCTATGTAAGTTTATAACCGCCGTTACAGTAAACCCCTCTCAACCCACCAAATGCTTGCTTGAAACACAAGTAAAATATAAGCAGGTAATTATATCCTTTGCTTTTATTCCACACCAAAGATGAAGAAATGTAGGATAAAGTTATAATGGTATATTATTCTGTACATTGTATAAGCCTAAAAATTAAAGGGACGAAAGTATGTAGTGACTATTGTTTGTCGTGATTTAAACACGATAATAGTGTTGCTTTCCCCTTTATCTTATGAGCCGTTTTGAACAGGACAGACTACCCCAAACACTCTGAAACTTTTCAAGTACTTTCTATATGCTCATGTGTATTATATTGTTAGCATAGTTTTGTACTTGGACAGATAATCAGAATGGTCAACAATCAAGTATTGACAATGTTAATTGGTCACGTTTGTTTGAACTACCAAACCAGGTAATTTTTAAATTTACACTTGTACAACCCAATGTCAATGTTACATACAATCAGTCATTTTTGTAACACAAGGGTTACAAATAAGAAAATACTAAATAAAATATGTATGAAGCACCTAAGACTTAAATATATCTACTGGGTGTATCTGTCTGTCTTTTGTCTAAGATAGTTGGCAGATATATAGGAATAAAAAGAGATGTAAGGTTATTGTAACACACCTTTGAGAAAGTTATTCAAACAAAAATAACAAAAACACAACACAACACATCTAGATATTCCAAGTTCTAAATCATTTTTTTTCAAAGTGGTGAAGATCAAAAGATCTGCAATTAACACCAAATTCTCCCAATATGAATGCATACTTCTTTTACCTGTGTATATGTATTAAAAGAAATACCAATGAAAATCTTAATTAAAATAAATGTTTAAAGATTAAACTTTTAATTGTTCAAATAAGAAGAACATTTTATGGGGGAAGGGGGATGATTCACAGAATCCCCTGGCCTACTCCCTTTAGGAATTATATATAGAGAGAGACTTTTTACAAGTCTAGTCTCACTTTTTTTTAAGGATCCTGGACCCATATCTGACAATTATTGCAATTGCTTTCATGTCGATCCGGCCCCACGTCGATCCGGCCCAAGTCGATCCGTCCCACGTCGATCCGGCCCAACGTCGATCCGGCCCAACGTCGATCCGGCCCATATTTAAAGTCGATCCGGCCCAATAAAAAATATATTTACAAGGAATAAAAAAAATGGAGGTATATATTAATTGTAATTCATAAATGTTTATGAATTTTATTAAAAAAGGTGTACGGTAAAAAAAAATTGGCAAAAATTTTCATTTTTCGGCAAGTGCGTCACAGTGGTAGATGAACAGAGTCTTGCCCGTTGGCAACGCACCAAGTATCAACGGTCACAGGGACGCCTCTCTTCACTATATGAGCAACTTCAAGACAGTACCATCACCACCTCCTTCTTCCTTCGTGCCGTCGGACACATGTACGACATTCCTGTGCCAGACCCAGAACCAGAAGAAAACACTGACAGCGAGTGATTTAATTGACTTTGAGTAAACTGTATGACTTGTATTATGTTAGTGCATATGTGGCTACAATCTATATGTTTATATAACATTTATTTAGTAAATGCTTAATGAGTATTCTTTATGTTTAGAATAATATAGTGCGTTTGTTCTTGGTGAGCTCATCAACTTGAACAGTTATAGTGCTGTTAGTTGTTCTATATATTATATATGTACTGCGTATGATAGTTACTGTATATGTTATTGTAGTGCTGCAAGTGTGACCCCTTTTATATTATGTAAGTGACAGTGTAACTGTTAGTGTAAATGATTTAAGAGTTATATATATATATTAATGCGAGTGTCAGAGATAGTGTGTTTGTTAGTGTGTATGAATTTATTGTTATATTATAGTAATGCTGATATTATATTTTAGAGAATGAAAATGTGCATTCAGTGTAATTATTTTGTTATTATCTTGCAGTAAAGAATAATGGATACTCATATAACTTGTTTTTTTATCTACACACAACTATTCAAAATATTGTCAACTTTCAAAGAATATATTGACTATATTCGATATTACAAAAAAAAAAACAAAAAAAAAAACATGTATTATAGAAGCCTCTGATGTTACCTGATTGAAATTAAATCAATCAGGATTTGATGGAATTAAGTGATTACGAGTGGCATTACCTTAGTTCACAATCATTAGACAATTGTTGAATAAACAAACCAATTATAGACTAATGATTTGATTAAACAAGTCATTATGATGAGTTAAATTTTATAGGTTCCATTGGACTGTAAATATTTATTTAGCTATTCTGTGTGTGAATTAAATAAAATAAAAATCGCCATGACATTCAAAGTTATCATGGAAAATAACTTCATATTAAAATATGTTGAAGCTGTATACAAACAGACACTATCACACTCATTTTCGTATCGATGTAAAATAATTCTTTGACTGGTACTCCAATACTTCACTTACCTGTTGTCATCCACCAACGATACTTTTTACAAATTCCATTTATACTGTTAAAATTTGTCACAAAAACCTCCAAAGTCAATATAATTTATTCATATTTTATTATGGGGCCGGATCGACGTAGGGACGGATCGACGTGGGCCGGATCGACTTGGGACGGATCGACTTTGGGCCGGATCGACTTAGGGCCGGATCGGTTCGGGGACGGAACGACCGGATACCTTGCAATTTTATTTACTTTGCCTTTTTTTACTGTGATTATTTTCCTAAGCTGATTGGATAAAATACCATTTATTATGGTGACAATTAAGGATAATCAGGGGCTGATCCAGCCATTTTTAAAAGGGGAGGGTCCCAACACAGGATAAAAGGGGGGTTCCAATTATGTTTCCCCATTTAAATGCATTGATCATTCCAAAAAAGGGGGGTTTCATGTGAAAATAATTTTTTTAAAAGTAAAATAAGATTTTCAATGGAATATATGTCTTGCAAGGTATTAGATGTTAATAAACAAGTTTTAATTTTGATGTTATTTTTTTTCAACTTGGACACAATTTACTTTTTTTTCATGTGAATTTCACATGAAAAATTTAACGTAAATTCATGTGAAAAATTTAACTTAAATTCACATCAACAAAATTTTCCTGTGTAACACATGCGTTACACATGCGTTTGACTATACATGTGTTACACATGCAAATATCGCATGTGTCACATGCGTTTTCCAACACATGCGTGACACAGGTGTTTTTCTGACACATGCGATTCACATGCGTGTATTACGCATGTGAACGCATGTGTACCACGCATGATTCACATGCGTGGCAAGAAACATGTGTATTACGCATGTGACACACCTGTGACACATGCGTTTTTAGGTACATGCGTGACACATGTGTGGCATTTTTGCCCTAGTACTTGTATCTTTAATTTACAGTTTGTCAAAATTATGTTAAAATAATTACCGTATGTATTTCTTTCAGAGAGACAACTTGATGTCATGAGAGGATAAGTCGAAATTTACGAAATAACCATTAAATCGTATATTACAAATATTCGTAATATAGAAAAAC